AAATGAAGAAACTGGTTCACATGTTTTGGTTCTAGGCTGGGATCTATTGCTCTAGAAGATAAAGAAGAAAAGATTTATGGGTGAATTGTTGCCTATACCAAGAAACCAAATGACTTCTTTCATCAAAGATGGGCTTTGATGAACTAAGTGAGAGATACAATCAAAATTCAAATCGACAAGTATGAGCTCAGCATTATTTATTCACTTATTGAGTGGCTGTGCTATTATTAGGCCCTGTGCCAGGTTCTATGGATAAGTAGTGAAGAAAATTACCCAAGATCTCTGCTCTGGCATCAAAAGCCTTGGGGAACTTTCCAAGGACATCACAGGGTGACAGTTTTCACACCCATTCCTACTTTAATCAGTACCCAAGTGTTGTGCGGAACCCCTATTAACCTCAACAAGGGAAGGAACCAAGTTCAAGAGGCTGAAGAGACCCATCGCCCAGGCTGGAGTGCACTGGTGTGATCTCGGTTCACTGCAACCTCTGCCTCCCAGGTTCAACTGATTCTCCTTCCTCAGCCTCTTGAGTAGCTGGGATTACAGGTGTGCACCACCACACCCGGCTAATTTTTTGTATTTTTTTAATAGAGATGGGGTTTTACCACGTTGGTAAGGCTGGTCTTGAACTCCAGAACTCATGATCCACCTGCCTTGGCCTCCCAAAGTGTTGAGATTACAGGCGTGTGCCACCGTGCTCGGTTGTTTTATTACTTTTAATGGCAAAAACTGCAATTATTTTTGCACAACCTAGTATTAGAGGCTTACATACAGGGGAGAGAACCTAGTGGCAGTGAGCTGGAAAGGAGAACCTTAGGTACAGAAATGGTCCAGTGGTGACAGCTGGATAACATATCCGCATGGCCTAGTGGCAGTGGGCTGGGCAGGAAAACCACAACCCCCTGCAAACATCATGCAGCTTATATAACATATTCACTTAATGATACTCTCCCTGTAATGACCTCCCTCCACCTGGCAACATTCATTTGACCCAAAACTTGGGGCCTCAATCTCCTGTATGTCTTGTGTTCCAGGTGATAGACTGGGGGCTAAGATGTTTATCGTAGGTAAGGAACAAAGATCTAGTTGGTCATTCCTGGATTCCCTATTTAGGAACATACATTCAGGTGCATCTGCCATACAGGATTATTCTAAGGATATGCTTAAATATTTGCTATCAGGGCCAGGCATGGTGGCTCATGCTTGTAATCCCAGAACTTTGGGAGGCCAAGGTGGGTAGATCACTTGAGATTAGGAGTTTGAAATCAACCTGACCAACATGACGAAACCCCACCTCTACTAAAAATACAAAACTTTTCCGAGTAGCTGGGGAAAAAAAAAAAATACAAAACTTAGCTGGGCATGGTCGTGCATGGAGCAAAATTTAAAACAAAACAAAAACATAGGCTTATAGGTTATATAGTCCTTTTCCTTCCAGAAACGAGTCTTGCTCTGTCACCCAAGCTGGAGTGCAGTGACATGATCTCGGCTCACTGCATTCAAGCGATTCTCCTGTCTCCCATGCTCAAGTGATTCTCCTGTCTCCCATGCTCAAGTGATTCTCCTGTCTCAGCTCCCAAGTAGCTGGGATTACAGGCATGCACCACCAAACCTGGCTAATTTTTGTATTTTTAGTGGAGATGGGGTTTCGCCACATTGGCCAGGCTGGTCTCAAACTCCTAACCTCAGGTGATCCACCTGCCTTGGCCTCCCAAAGTGCTGGGATTACGGGTATGAGCCACTGTCTGTGCCCACCCTTATATATAGTCCTTTTAACCACAAAGAATTTTTTTTTTAAAGGCTCACTTTTGGGCTGGACCCTGTGGCTCATTGTGTGTAATCCCAAAACTTTGGGAGGCAAATGTAGGGGGATCACTTGAGTCCAGGAGGTTGAGGCTACAATAAGTAGTGATCATGCCACTGCACTCCAGCCTGGGCCACAAAGTGAGACTCTGTCTCAAAATACAAACAAACAAATAAAACACTCATTTTTGAAGCAAATACTGGGAGATGGTAGAGGTGATAATGTTGGGAAGTTGAGAAAGATTTGAAAGAGGGCAGATTTCAACTACCTCTTTGGACAGTTTTAGCAACGGAGGGAAAGAAGAGCTAAGCAGTGCCTGGAGAGGAATGGTGATCCTTACTATGTCAACTTGTAATCACAAAGTGTGAAGCATGGAGTACCCAGCAGGCACTGAGAAAAACAGTTCTCACCCCTCCCCCAACCCCACCATAACAGGGAATCAGAAGAATTTTGAAGATCTAATGAGTAGTAAATACTTTCAGCTTAAGCAGTTACTAAAAAAATAAAAGAAACAAATAATGAAATGCTGCATTTGCTGATTAGAATAAGAAAATGAATTTTTCGGTCTGATGGCATACATACAAGCTGTAGTTCAAAGGTCACTGCAACCTACTCACTTATACTGACAGTAGGCAGTATTCTAGGGTTTACTGCTGCACTAGTTGCTATTTCAACATAACTTCAAATAGCCCTGAAGCGAGGTACTCTATCCCTCCTGCCAGTAGCCCCACTCCCACCCAACTCTGGGAAAAAAAATTTAACGAAAAGATAGTCACATTGAAAAAAAGTTTATTTAAAAAAGTTCTAGCAGCAAGAACAGTAACAAAAGAAAAGGAGAGACAAACAAAACAAGGAGGTCGTATATCACGGAACTTGTCTCCACTCTTAATCGAGTTCTTTATACCGAGCAAACATGACTCTTCGAACAGCATCTCGGTAAGTCTCGTTGGACT